CCCTCAGCCACAGCGACCGCCTCCCCAGCCGCTCCAACTGCAGCCCACCCACAAACCAAAGTGTCGTCGCCGCACCAAAAACGAGCAGCGGAATGCACCGAACACAACCACGCCCTTGTCCTCGTGCTGCAAATTTCCATTCACGACCGGCCAAATCACCACACACAACCCACCTCGGTTTGGAGGAGGTAGCAGCATGAGCAGTTGCGGCGGGGACAAAATGCGCAGCAGTTGGTGCACCCATCCGCCACGTCGAGGGGCTGTTCCGGGAATTCAACCCGGGACCTCTCGCACCCTAAGCGAGAATCATACCACTAGACTAAACAGCCGACGAATCCCGCAGGTCACATTCCACAGCGCACCCCCACGCATCTTGCCGTGTCCTCCGCTAGTCACCTCCTCCGCTGCATCGCACTATTTTCCGACACGCGCGGCCCGCCTCTCCCCTGCAAGCCACCTCCCATGCGCTTCCTCCTCTTCACCTCCAAAACGGCGCTCCCTCCTCTCCGAACCCCCTCCCTCAGCCACAGCGACCGCCTCCCCAGCCGCTCCAACTGCAGCCCACCCACAAACCAAAGTGTCATCGCCGCACCAAAAACGAGCAGCGGAATGCACCGAACACAACCACGCCCTTGTCCTCGTGCTGCAAGCTTCCATTCACGACCCGTCAAACCACCACACACAACCCACCTCGGTTTGGAGGAGGCAGCAGCATGAGCAGTTGCGGCGGGGACAAAATGCGCAGCAGTTGGTGCACCCATCTGCCACGTCGAGGGGCTGTTCCGGGAATTGAACCCGGGACCTCTCGCACCCTAAGCGAGAATCATACCACTAGACTAAACAGCCGACGAATCCCGCAGGTGACCTTCCACAGCGCACCCCCACGCAACCTGCCCTGTCCTCCGCTAGTCACCTCCTCCGCTGCATCGCACTATTTTCCGACACGCGCGGCCCGCCTCTCCCCTGCAAGCCACCTCCCATGCGCTTCCTCCTCTTCACCTCCAAAACGGCGCTCCCTCCTCTCCGAACCCCCTCCCTCAGCCACAGCGACCGCCTCCCCAACCGCTCCAACCGCAGCGCACCCACGAACCATAGTGTCGTCGCCGCACCAAAAACGAGCAGCGGAATGCACCGAACACAACCACGCCCTTGTCCTCGTGCTGCAAGCTTCCATTCACGACCCGTCAAACCACCACACACAACCCACCTCGGTTTGGAGGAGGCATCAGCATGAGCAGTTGCGGCGGGGACAAAATGCGCAGCACTTGGTGCACCCGTCCGCCACGTCGAGGTGCTGTTCCGGGATTTCAACCCGGGACCTCTCGCACCCTAAGCGAGAATCATACCACTAGACTAAACAGCCGACGAATCCCGCAGGTGACCTTCCACAGCGCACCCCCACCCAACCTGCCCTGTCCTCCGCTAGTCACCCCCTCCGCTGCATCGCACTATTTTCCGACACGCGCGGCCCGCCTCTCCCCTGCAAGCCACCTCCCATGCGCTTCCTCCTCTTCACCTCCAAAACGGCGCTCCCTCCTCTCCGAACCCCCTCCCTCAGCCACAGCGACCGCCTCCCCAGCCGCTCCAACTGCAGCCCACCCACAAACCAAAGTGTCATCGCCGCACCAAAAACGAGCAGCGGAATGCACCGAACACAACCACGCCCTTGTCCTCGTGCTGCAAGCTTCCATTCACGACCCGTCAAACCACCACACACAACCCACCTCGGTTTGGAGGAGGCATCAGCATGAGCAGTTGCGGCGGGGACAAAATGCGCAGCACTTGGTGCACCCATCTGCCACGTCGAGGGGCTGTTCCGGGAATTGAACCCGGGACCTCTCGCACCGTAAGCGAGAATCATACCACTAGACTAAACAGCCGACGAATCCCGCAGGTGACCTTCCACAGCGCACCCCCACCCAACCTGCCCTGTCCTCCGCTAGTCACCTCCTCCGCTGCATCGCACTATTTTCCGACACGCGCGGCCCGCCTCTCCCCTGCAAGCCACCTCCCATGCGCTTCCTCCTCTTCACCTCCAAAACGGCGCTCCCTCCTCTCCGAACCCCCTCCCTCAGCCACAGCGACCGCCTCCCCAGCCGCTCCAACCGCAGCCCACCCACGAACCAAAGTGTCGTCGCCGCACCAAAAGCGAGCAGCGGAATGCACCGAACACAACGGCGCTCCCTCCTCTCCGAACCCCCTCCCTCAGCCACAGCGACCGCCTCCCCAGCCGCTCCAACTGCAGCCCACCCACGAACCAAAGTGTCGTCGCCGCACCAAAAACGAGCAGCGGAATGCACCGAACACAACCACGCCCTTGTCCTCGTGCTGCAAATTTCCATTCACGACCGGCCAAACCACCACACACAACCCATCTCGGTTTGGAGGAGGGAGCAGCATGAGCAGTTGCGGCGGGGACAAAATGCGCAGCACTTGGTGCATCCATCCGCCACATCGAGGGGCTGTCCCGGGAATTCAAAACAAGACCTCTCGCACCCTAAGCGAGAATCATACCACTAGACTAAACAGCCGACGAATCCCGCAGGTGACCTTCCACAGCGCACCCCCACGCAAGCTGCCCTGTCCTCCGCTAGTCACCTCCTCCGCTGCATCGCACTACTTTCCGACACGCGCGGCCCGCCTCTCCCCTGCAAGCCACCTCCCATGCGCTTCCTCCTCTTCACCTCCAAAACGGCGCTCCCTCCTCTCCGAACCCCCTCCCTCAGCCACAGCGACCGCCACCCCAGCCGCTCCAACTGCAGCCCACCCACGAACCAAAGTGTCATCGCCGCACCAAAAACGAGCAGCGGAATGCACCGAACACAACCACGCCCTTCTCCTCTTCTTGCAAGCTTCCATTCACGACCGGCCAAACCACCACACACAACCCACCTCGGTTTGGAGGAGGCAGCAGCATGAGCAGTTGCGGCGGGGACAAAATGCGCAGCACTTGGTGCACCCATCCGCGACGTCGAGGGGCTGTTCCGGGATTTCAACCCGGGAACTCTCGCACCCGAAGCGAGATTCAGACCACTAGACTAAACAGCCGACGAATCCCGCAGGTGACCTTCCACAGCGCACCCCCACGCAACCTGCCCTGTCCTCCGCTAGTCACCTCCTCCGATGCATCGCACTATTTTCCGACACGCGCGGCCCGCCTCTCCCCTGCAAGCCACCTCCCATGCGCTTCCTCCTCTTCACCTCCAAAACGGCGCTC